CAAGTCAAGTTAATGACTGTGGAGCTTACAAACAGTATCTGTGTATGGTCCACACAGCGCGGTCAATAAAAAGTCTATAAAATACGGGCCAACTTTAAATCTACTTTTCTATTCTATTCTGAAAGCTAACCGAAGAGCGAAGAGAGGGATTCAATGTGAAAATCTACAGTACCTGACAGCATCTTTCTCTGTGCGTGAGCTGAGATATCTTTGGACCTGAGCCTGGTTCACTCCGTACAGGGACAGCATGAGGAAGACCCCGCCGACCCCCAGAGTCCAGAAGGTGTGTCTCTCCGTGGGATCTGGGTTTAGGCTGAACACGAGAGAGAGAGAAAATACAGCACAGAGACAACACTTCAGGGAACAAACCAGCAAATGTGTGCACTGGAATTTATCTCCACACAGAAACAAGTGAACCATGGAAGCGCCAGGATTTTAGTCGATACAGTAGCTGGTTTCCTTTTTACAGATATTTTTTGGGCTGTTTTGCCTTCACTGATAGGACAGCTCAAGATAGACAGGAAAGCTGGAGAGAGCGGGGATGAGACGCAGCAAAGGGCCACAGATCAGACTCGAACCCAAGGACCCAGCCCGGGCACATGGGGTGCCAGCTCCACCAGGCGAGCCACCATGGCGGGACGTGGTTTCACACTCCAGACTGGTCAAAATTGTGCAGACGAGAAGAATTAGCTGCTGTTGTGTCCTCAGTGTTTGCAATGGAAAAATCTGCAGCCACTTGGTTCTCAATGCACTTTCACTGTATGATGTTGAACTTCACATGCATTTCTTAATACTTCAGTTTAGTTTTCAAAATCCTCTTTACAGTCAGCAGAGAAGCAGTCAATGTGGACTAAACTGTGCATAACTTTTCATTGCTCTGACACAAAATGGTCAATAATAAATACTGACATGAATAAATCGTGATGTATTTGTGTATAGATTTCCCCATCCCTTCCTGCTGCTGGTTATTCTCTAACAACTACATTGCAGTGCGGACTCACTCGAGAGCAGAGATGCGGTTTCCTTCCCAGACTTTCCTCCAGACTTCAGACACTCCTCCAGTCTGCTGCACTCCCACCACGATGACAGCCAGCTGCCCCGCAAACATCACAAGAGTCTGAAAGACGTCTGTCCAGATCACAGCCTTCAAACCGCCCTGTCAGGAACAGACAAGACACAAAGGAATTAATAATAAGACACACACACAAATATTTTCTTTAATTATTCATTTCGTCTTTATTAATTTATTAATACTTTATTCAAATACTAGATATGCACCATTTTTCAATTGCTACAGTTAAATATACTGTATCTCATTTTTGACAAAGCACAGTGTAATCTGATAGCATTTAAAGAGAGTGAGTTGGAAATCCCCCACAATTCAAATTTTGAGTTAAGTTGTATGAAAATGACTTCAATGACTCACAATTGTTGTGTACAATGTGCACACGAGTCCAGTGGCCAGCACTGCTCCCCATAATTCAAATCCAGTAACTGAAAGAAAGCACAGTCACACTGAACCACATATCTCGTCTACTGAGAACTACACAGTCAGAGTAAAGCAAATTAAGTTTCGTACCTGCATTTAGTGCAAAGGCAGGAGTATACACACAAACTCCCATATAGATAACCTGCAGCAGAGTAAAAGACAAATCAGAGACGGTCCACTTCATAAAATATATAGAAAATAAAAGAATACATGGATCCATCTGTTGTAATTTTCAGGCTTTTTTTTTATAAGGACAAACCAATCTTATCCACTGAATTGGAGTCAGATGTGAAGATTGATTGAGGATTCAAAGGCTTTATAGTCATATGACACGAATCTCATATCTGTACAGTGTACCTGGACAACATGAGGAAACAGCAGCTCGCTGTGGCTCTTTCCAAATATAACTGTTCCTCCACAGAAGTATGGCACACATTTCACAGTAAAACCACTATGTGTTATTTTTGGTTTTTGTGCCGATCAAACAAACTGTGCTCCATTTGTGCTAGTTAAACAGCCCATAATCAGGCTGCAAAGTGATTGTACTTAGTCTCTTAATTTACAATAGGTGTGTTCTGCTCTCTCTCTAACCCCAACTGGTCGAGGCAGACGACCACCCACATAGAGTCGGGGTCTGCTCGAGGTTTCTGCCTCTTAAAAGGAAGTTTTTCCTTGCCGCTGTCGCCAAGTGCTTGCTCATGGTGGGAACTGTTGGGTCTCTGTAAATAATTTATTAAGGAGTTTGAGCTACTCTTTTTACCTTTTACTCTGGTATCAGATCGGGAGTCTGTATCCCTGAGTTGAGGTATTGGAATTGTTATTGGTAGAGAAAAAGTTGGATTGCTGCATCCCTCCTTTATTATGTGAAGCGCTGCACCCACCGTCTGAAAGATGAAGGTCAAAGTCCCACAGATGCGCACTGCTTTGCTGAAGCGCAGTTCAAGATACTGTTAAAACAAAGCAACATGAGAACCGTGAAGAACATGAAGGATAAACACCATGAATATGAACTCATTTTAAATCCAGTTCAGCTGTACCTGGTAAGCACTGGAGAGCCGCAGTCTGTACAACACCGGAATGAAAACATGAGCAGGAATGAGGAGGCCCAGAACGTAAGCACAGCCGATGAACCAGTACTGAGTGCCGTGAGTGTAGATTTCTGCCGGTACACCTATAATCGCCACAGCCGACTGGAATGAGGCGATGAGTGACAGCGAAACCGGAAGACAGCTCATGCTCCTGTCTGCCATCAGGAACTCCTGCGTTGTGCGCTGACGCCCGCCTGATAGCGCATGGTACAGCCCGATGGCCATAGAGGCGGCGAGCAGGACCGCAAATATCACATAGTCTACAACCGTGAAGTGTTTCTGGTCAGACGGGTCCATCTTGATTGTCTTTAAGTCTTGGCTGCAGTTGGAGAAGGTTTGGTTCTCCTGCCGGCATACATTCAGACGGATGGGAAACGTCTTTGTCCACACCCATCAGTCAGGAGAGTCCGGCAGCCTTGAAGTTGAAAACACTGATTAAATATATGTGTGTGAGAGAGAGAGGGAGAATACAAATTGCTGACATTCACCCACAATCAGCCACAGTTGTTACCTGTTGTGACCCCCTTTTATCATAAACAAATCACTTTGCTTGACCCTACACGCCCCATGTACTCCTCCTCCTCATGCCCTGGGTTCCCCTGAGCTGTTTTTACATATTTCTGTCCCTTCCTTCCCAAGGATTCATTCCCAAAGAGATAAGACAGAAGCTGAGATAACTGTTCCCTCTGCTTCAACTGATCCGTTTGCAGCAGAAAAGCATTATTAGGTGAGATAATGTTCAGTTTGTTTAAAGAAACCGAGGTCAAACAACTTCTGTGTCAACTTTCCCCTGGTTGGGCTGATCCAAAAATACTGACTCTACTGGTTTGGCTCAAGGGGGAGGCGCCCTCCCACTCTGCCACCTGCTGCCTTTGTGCGTACTGCAACACAAAAGCAGCAACCAATCTCTGAGGATTTTGAAGGTCAAAAGCAACAAATGGGCCTGGATCTGAAAAGTTTCCACTAAAACCGAGAGCCATTTCAGAGACATCTTTTTTACTCAAATTATACAATAATGTACAAATGTTTCATTTAAAGTACATTAAAAATCCTCAAAGACACAAATAATTAGAGCTTAGTAGTTAATTCATTAACTGATTAATGTTTGATAGCATAATTTGAGTTGAGTCATTTCTCAAGCAAGAATGTGAAACATTTGCTGGTTCCAGCGTCTCAAATGTGATGATTTGCTGTTTTTCTTTGTTATATGTGATAATAAACTAAAATATCTTTATATTATAGTATATTAATATATTATTATTATTATTATTATGATATTAAGAAACTGAATATCTTTATTATTATAATATATGAATATAGTATTATTATTATTATTATTATTATTATGATATTAAGAAACTGAATATCTTTATTATTATAATATATTATTATTATCTTATTAATGAACTGAATATCTTTTTTTTTTATATTTATATTTTTTTTTAGTTTTTGGACTCTTGGTTGGAAAAAGACAGAACGGTTAATTAAGAGAATAATTGCTAGTTGCAGCCCTATTCATAATAATGATTAAATTAGGGCTGCAATAACTTTTACCACTGATAAATATGACTGATATCATTCTTTTCTCAAGAGCCCTTCAAATGTCCTGTTTTGTCTAATCAACAGCCTAAACCCCAATATGTCAGTTTACAATATGTCAGTTTACAATATGCTCAGTTTACAGTGTTATAAAACAGAGAAAACCCAACAAATCCTCTGATTTTTTGGCATTTCTACTTGAAAAACCACTCAAACAACAAATCAATTATCGCAACAGTTTCTCAGTCACTCGACTAATCGGTTAATTGACAAACTATAACCACAGGATACCGCACAAAGCACAATAAGGTCTCTATAAACTAACTAGAACCATTGCAGAGACGCGTTAAAGTGACTTTTACTCCACTTGACAACACTGCTGCTGTAACTTTAGATTTATTAGTTATAAATAACAACCGGTGCTGATTCAAATGTTGGGCTGTGCAGGAAAAGTGTAGCGACTGCACCACCAGGTGACCCTCAAAATCTCTAACAGCTGCTTAACTGGACCGAATACGAGGACACACACACACAAACAGAAGAAATAACAACATCTGTAATAGTATGTCCGAGGATGTGGTGCAGACAGATTGAGACAGACTCACCTTTACCCGCCTGCACTCTCGATATGTGTCTGACTGTCAGTGGCACCATGCTGTTCACTGACACATTCAAGAGCGCCACGTTAGTTTTAAAAACAACAAAAAAAAAACACGGACTACCTATATAACACAATGTGCGTTATCTAGACTGTGAACTCTTTCTATGTGCGTGGTGTTTTCAGAAAGCATTAAATTAACCCACCAGCTGGCGAAGCTCTCGGTCGTCCATGTGATCGCAAATTGTTTTGAATTCTCTTCCGGGGTTTTTGGGGGGGGGGGGCGGAGCTACACGCGATGACGCAGCAGCCGCCAAAATCAAACCGTCCGAAACTTGACGCGAATATTTTCCGTCTGTGCGGTTTAAACGATAGTTAACACACCATAAAGACAAACAACGTGCCGAGACATGGAGACTGCGACAGGTAACTACGGCGGTTGAAAGCTAGCTCGTGCAGTGGGAGGTTGTTGTTGTTGTTGTTGTTGTTGTGATGCTAGGTTAGCTGACGCTAGCCGGAGGAGCAAACGTGGTGGTTTACGAGTACGAGCGTCTTATGGGAGCGTTTTTTCCCCTCTTTTCGCCAGGTGTTTTGAGTCACCTGAGTCGCCTGGAAGTTGAGGCAAGAAGCCGTAAGAGTCGACCCCAGCAGCGGAGTCGTGTGAAGGAGCTGAAGGCTAAAGTTGAAGCGCTGAGGCTGCAGAGAGACCGGCTGAAGGCGGAGATAGAGACACACAAGGTGGGAAGAGCTGGAGGTTGGCAGCGGGGGTTTGGGTCTAATGAGTTCACACTGTTTACTGTGATATTGTTAATATCTGTGGCTGACATATATAACATACATTACAGACACACAGAACTCAACGTATTTCTACATAATGTTGTTTTTGTCTGTGAAAATTAAACGTGGGATGCGAAAATGATCATTCCCACACTAAGCATACTCATCCCATATCAGTTTATTATTTTGTTATATAAAATTCATTGAACAAATTAACTGTTTAATTAACTGACCTTCCCACATTATCATGTGTGCTGCTTTCTATGCCACTAATGTGCTGGAGAAACATTATGTTTTGTGTACTTTAAGTTACTTTTGGTAAGGATGAACTGGAACACGCCGACTGAGAGCCTGTTTTTAACCCCAAATACCAAATTCTTGCAACCAGGTATCAGAAAGAGTGCAAAAAGAAGAGTGGAGGCTGTTAAAGCAGCAAGTTAATGTTTCAGGAGCGTCGAGGCAGCTTGAATTATTTTAAAAATGTCACCCTGTGTATCACTAACTTTGTTAATAACGAAGCACTAATTGTGTTTCCTTTCTGGTTGATTTGTTGGTGCTGGTTACACCGTCCTGCCTCAGAGTCTCCAGAAACTGAGGGTGTCTATGGACAAACAGAGTGCACATGAAGAAGAAGAAGAAGAAGAAGACGAGGAGGAAATGGATGAAGACTCTGAGAACTCACAACTGCTGCGGCTGATGGCCAGACACACACAACTGAAAGACCTCCTGCATGCTCATCACATCATTGGTAATCACTGCCAGTTGTTTTTAATTATCTTCACAGTAAGATGGGTTAGTTTTATTAATTAAATTATAAACTGTATGTCTGTTGTATTCGCTGGTGTCACCAGGTGGGTACAATGTCATAAAGACTCGTCAAGGTAAAGGAGTGTGTGTGTCTCTGGCGACGGCCTACGATGGCGTCTTCTTAGACACCTACAACCTGGAGATAGACGTGAAGCCAACGCTGAGGATCAGTCGTCACAACGTCCCCCCGTTCATTCCCTTGAACAGCCTGGTTGAACAGAGCAACATGCAGACAGACATAAGGAGTTTTCTGGACACGCTCAGCCAACATCTCAACGCCTTCGCCGGTCGCAAGCAGCAGCTGAAGCTTGTGAAGGTGCCAGACTTTTTGATTTTGTGTGTTTGTGTTAAATTATCTCACGAATTAGTAGCTGCTGTGATGCCACCCACGAATATAACTCAGACTGAGTTGGGTTTCTGAACTGGCCAACATTTTATTAAACCTTTTTAATGTTTTATTTTAACAGTAAAGTTTCAGTTGGTTTTAAATCTTAACTTAATGTTAAAGGTTAGGGTTGTGTAGCTCGTCCCAATCCAGTTTGCTTCCCATTATTGGAGCCGGGCCTGAGCACAAACTGAGGATTTCTTTCAGCTGCACACATGAGCAGGAAGCCAGCCGACCACGAGGAATGTAAAGTGTTTAGGATTAGAATTACATTACCTGGAACTGTTTACCCAACATTTTAATATTTGAGTTCGCAGATGAATAAAGCTTTGAATAAAGCTGTGAATAGGGCTTTGACAATCTCTCTTAGGAAGACGATCTCTAATGATAGTAGCAGGAGGAGGGTAGCCTCATGTCATGTCACTGATCCTCTCCTCCTGCTTGTTTATAGGAACTCCATAAGGCTGTGGAAGTGATGGAGAGCAACGTTTTGTGTTCAATATTGGTGATGATGTTCACTGTGCCGGGAGAGAAGACGGCCGTTCTCTGCACCCTGGACTACACCGACCACACCAGATGTCTCCCCACACGGGTCCACTTTGAATCTGAAGGTAGGATTTAGGATTTATTTTTAAACGGCAGAAGTTTCTCAACTCAAACAGATCTGTAGCTGTAGCTTCCCCAAAGCTGTTAACTGAAGACACAATGTTGGAGGGTAGAACAGTCTAAACAAGCACTGATTATGAGTCCGTTGACAGAACATTAAGCAGCAACAATTTCAATAACTGATTAACCATTTAATCAGTTTGTCAAGCAAAAATACCAAATGTATATTTTAATATTATCTGGTTCCAGCTGCTCAAATGTGAGGATTTTTTTTGTTTTTCTCCTCGTTAAATGGTTGTACATTAAATATATTTTGGTTTCTGACTGTTGGTTCAATAAAATGAGCAACCTAACTTAACAACTTTATTATCAAAAGAAAAAAAAATCAGTTTGGAGCCACTTTATAATCCTAATTTCAGATCGAGCATACTGGTAAATTAGCAACAAATGTGTCCTCACATTCTTAAATTGTCTGAGATTTTGTCTCAAGATTAGTAAATATCGCTACTGAGAGTCATTTTAGTTAACAAAATGTTCAAACATTTGTTTTTATTTAGTATGTAATATGTTTTACAATTGTCAATGTAAGAATCGCTTTAGACCTACAACAATGATAAATTAAAATGTTGAAAATAATCACAGGAGAGGAGCTAAAGAGCTGCAGTCTCTTACCGTTTGCTTTAGGCTCTGGGAAATTGTGATGTGCATTTTTTTCTGACATTTTAAAGAAAATGAAAGAAGTTAGAAATCCCATACACTGTCCATCACTTTGTTTATATTAAAATTAAGAGGTCCGAGGAGTGAAACGTTAAAGTTCACAAGATCAACAGTGTGCAAGACTGTTTGAGTTTTTGCTCTAGTGTGCAAGAACATTGTAGTGTTTGTCACCTGACTTGTGATATACTAAACATTTCACCGTTTTAACAGCAATTGACATGAAATAGTGGGTAAACACAAGTGTTACCAATTACACAAATTAAGGCTCTGTTCCATTTAGTGTAGCAGAGCCTTTCCAGTGAGCCAACATGCACAACAGCAACAACCTGACTCTGTTTGATCACTGGTTGCACCTGTTTACCTACTATTTCATGTCAAAATGGCTTCTAACAAATATGGTAATGTGGTAATGTGGTAAATATGGTAATATTACAAACTTATTTCCTTGTAAAATTTACTCACTTTTTTTTTTTCTTTTGCAGACAAAGAGCTTCCTGATTCTCCAGAGTGGAAGAAAAACTGCAGCCTCCTCATGGAGACTCCTGTGCACAAAGCTTTGATAATCATGAAGAAGATGGGGAATATTGTGTAATTTATTCAGAAATAATGAAACTTTTCTACATTTTTAAAGATAATATGTACATTGTCATTGTTTATAATAAAAAAAATACTGTTAGTTAAACGTTTCTTCTTCTAACAGATGTTGAGGTATTAAATTGTGAGTAGAAAGTGAATTTTTCTGAGTTCCTCTACGGCGGTTCCACTTGTATTTCATGTTGGGTTTTGTCCTTGAGCTTCTCTATAAATGCGGCCACCCTCTTGTGTAAAGTGTCCCTCTGAAACTGTCTCAGCCTCTCCATTTCCTCTCTAGCTCTCTGCTGCTGCCTGGCCAGCTCTTTGGCTGATATTGAGTCTATAGTGGCGATGTTTTTCATCTGCATGAGCGACAGGCCGCTCTGGATGTTTCCTCTGTGTCTCACTGAACTGGTGAGTGACGTTGGTGGCGCCGATATCGACCGACTCTCCTCCACCAGTTCAGATTCTTTGTCGTGATACTGGGACTGGCTGGAATTTAATCTTCTGCCATCAGATGTTTGAATACCTCTGCTGAAGTGTGTCTCTGCATTGTTGTGTTCTCCGATTTCTTTCATGGCGATGTTGACTGTAGCTTTAGGCTCACAGATTTTGACCATCACTACTCTTCTCTGTTCGTTGACCAGCGAGTCTCTTCGTTGTTGAAGCATCTTGCGAGTGTACTTGTGCTGTTTGTCCAACATGTTTAGTTTCTGCTGGAGATCCCTCTCCTCCTTCTGGTTCAACACCTTCAGGTCTCTCTGCAGCGCTTCAGGTCTTCTGATGCTTTGATCCATTGTATACAAAGGCTAGAGGGAGAAATATGCGTTTTTCAGTCACTTTTTAAACTTAAATTAAATCAAAGGATGTAATTTTCTTACCTGATGTGCGTGCAACGTCCTCCAGAGAGCTGTGTCTTACAGGTGTGTTTGCTGCTATGGCTGTCTCAGTGTGTGTAATACAATAGCCTATTATATCTGAAGTAAAGTGGATGAGATTGTTGGTCATTGTGTACTGTCACATTCCCTAGAGATTCAGTTTCAAGATGCCTTAGCAGGGCAGTCACAGGGCTTTCTTGCAGATTATACAATCAGTAGATAACAATGACTCACCTTGTGCAAAATACTTTTAATTGTATGCAGCTTTAGTGCTTAAGTGGATAATGCTACTACATTCTCACATGATCTTTCACTGTTTGGGATCTATAAGTTATACTTTAAGTTGTGCTGATATTGTTGGAATATTTTTGTTATAATAAAATTACTTCTAAAATACAAAGATATATCATTTTATACAGCCGGTGGGGTCATGTCTTTACTTTAATGGTAAATCACTTCAGAAGCAAACACTATGGAGAGTCTTATCAGGATATCTTAAAAGAAACTAGTGTTTGTAAACATGTATCAGGCATCAAATGTGCACATTTCTAATATATTTATGTTTTTTATTTATTTTACTATTCAGTTATATTTACAGTTATTGATCTCCCTACATAATGGTCCACACACACAGTTTATTCTCTACTGAAATGATTAATCAATCAGTTGACAGTAAATCTGCACAGATCTTGATAGTGTTTAAGAAAAATGGCAATAATGTTCTTGTTCCAGCTTCTTAAATGTGAATATATCCTGTTTTTCTTAGTCTTCTGTGATAGTACACTGATTGTCTTTGGGGTTTTGAACTGCTGGTTGGACCAAATGAAGCATTTGAAGACACACTGACAGGGACTGTAGGAACTTGTAATGGCCATTTTGTACTATTTGGTGACTTTAAATGGAAGGGAAGGATTGCATAAGAACATCATTTAAAACGTTATTTGCAGGATAAATCCCTTCATTTTACTTTCATTTATATATCTGCCAGAAAAGAAACATTTAATCATATATTTGAGTCCTCAGTCGCCCTGATGATGCCAATATGATGCCATATATTGTCATTTATTTAAATGATAGTGCAGTATCCCTTTAATAAAATGCCCTGTCTTGTGTAAGAGAGCCTGCCCCTCTGGTGGTTTGATCCCTCCCGCGCCAAACTCATCTCCAGTCTGCATGATGGCTCAACTAAACCTCCCAAAAACTCTAATAGTCGCCTTAAAGGTGATGAACTGTTGACATCACCGGCTGGTAAGTTCATATTTTTAATGCTTTCAACAATAATTTACAGGCAACAGAGTGATTCACTGTCACATTAGCAGGTATCGTAATACTACACGGTGAAATGGCGCTTTCTTTTCTCCTAATCGTACCTGTAATCGATCTGCAGTCTCAATTTAGACACTTTAATTCAAGTTTTTAAAAGTTTGGAACCCCCTGACACTACTGCGCAGGCGCGTTGCGTAATGGTTATAACGTAATCGTGGAACTTCACTGACCCTCAGTCATCTCAGTACTGAATTTATGTACTATTACAACAAGTTCCTCTTCTCCCTTTTTACTATAACCTCTGGTGTCTTCTTCCCATTTTTTTCTTCTGCTGGTTCTCCTCAATAGTTTCAAAGTTCAGGACACAGTTAAGTTCCCAGGGCTGGCTACATGTTTCTGCACTTGTATGGGAAGTCAACCGGCCCATAATCCGCCTCCATAGGTGTTTTTTTTTTTATTATTATTTATGTTGATTCTCCCAAATTCTGAAATAATGATTGTAGTAAAAGTAATTTTCTGGCTGTATTTAAAGCAACATTAGAACATTAAGATAACTCATGTTATAGAAGACACTCTTAAGGACTTTCATCTTCTGTATTTTCGACTTCTCTTAATCAATATTCATTAAAATACAGAGGGCAATCTCTTTGGAACAACTTACTCCCATCAATACAGTCAGTATCTACTTCAAAAAACATCTTCAAAAGTCTCTAATTAGCAAAGATTCATAACACTTCATGGACCTCAATGTGATGTATTTAATCTGGTAAAATAGTTGTACATTTCTATCAATATTGAATTACAGCTGCTTGAATGTTGTATTACACAATCTTTGTTTTTATCTGTTTTTCTCTTTTTAAAGTACGATTATATTTGTAAAGTGGGAGGTATCTTCATAAGCATTTTTTAGCTTCAAACCTCTTTGCAGACAATGTTCATGTGCAAATAAATAATAACAATAAATATGTAAGATTTGGTATTTGTTGCAATTTGGCACCCCCAGTTACTATCCCAATGTTGAACATGGACGGCTGTGCACGTGCATTTCTTATGATTATATTACTTATGATGAAAAACTGTTAAAGCAGTTAAAGCGTTATGCACTTGTCCCGCCCCGAAGCCACAATTTACATAGGGCAAGAACACCAGACAGGATCATTTTTGTGTTGTTGAGACAAAGATGTTTGTATTTTTATAATGTGTGTGGTCTATTGACAGATAGAAGCATAGAAACGATCATATTTACAGTACAAATGAATCATAAAGAATAAACACTGTACAAAGATGAACGTATGTTATCTTTTTTTTCTTTAATCAATTCACAGTTGTCAAATGCATCACATCCTGCGCACTGGAAAACTTTTACTGGGAAACACCCATAAGTCAGTGAGTATTTAAAACAGCAGAAGTATAAAGAAGCTATAGGTTAAATTGTTTCATTTATAAACCAGCTTCAGGTTAGCAAAAAAGGAATTTTGTGTCATGACTAAATCTAGAATTTAAAATCTTTATTTTATGGGCCTGGAAAAAGTGCTACTCTAGCTTTGCCAAGATGATGCGGGCAGTGTGTGTCGACGTACCAGGAGGACCTGAGAATTTACTGCTGCGAACTGTCCCGAGACCTCAGCCTAAAGACGGGGAAATCCTAATTAAAGTTCACGCAACTGCTCTCAACAGGGCCGACTTACTGCAGGTGAACTACAATACAATACAAAGCAGAAGCTACAATCTCCAAGTGGTCCTGATTTTGAAAACTCAACTCGGTTCATATATTGCAATTCTTGTGTATATTATTCTTCTGTTTAGAGGCGAGGACTGTACCCACCTCCCCCTGGTGAGAGTGATATCATAGGCCTGGAGGTGGCTGGTACTGTGGATACTCTGGGCCCAGGGGTGAAAACAAGCTGGAAGCCAGATGACAGGGTCATGGCCTTGCTCTGTGGAGGAGGATATGCAGAATATGTTGCTGTGCCTGAGGAGCTCCTCATGCCCGTTCCCCCTAATCTCACACTCTGCCAGGCCGCTGCGATCCCAGAGGCCTGGCTCACTGCCTTTCAGCTGCTGGTTTTCGTAGGTACAGCAACTGTGTTTGTTATTTATTAGAGAATATTCATCATTCTGCCGGGAATTGTCATTGGAAATAACACAGAACATTTTATTTAAATGCCGTTTCACTGTTTGTGTTCCCCTAAGTTCTTATTTTTCCACTCTTTCTTTTATCTTATTGGTGTTACTTTTTATTATTTTACGCATGTAGCACTTTATATTTTTTGGTAATGGCTACAAAGACTTAGAGCTAATTGTTTCTAACGTATACGCATACAGACAATGTTCAGTCTTTACCAGTACTTTGCAAATTAGGACCTTTATTTATATGTACGTTGATCTCTTTCAATAAGTAGCACAAAAACAATAAAACAAATGTACAGCCACACAAACTGAGCACAGTTAAAAACTGTTTGCTCCTCAATGATAGGAAACTTAAATTACCTGAGGCCAACACAACACAAATCAATACATGGCTCCTACATGTATTCTAGCACCATAATAATCAAAATAATCTGAGATGTAAATTGACATTCCCTGAAAATTAAAGAAACAAGGAAGAATTCTGCTCATGTGAGGCTCTAAACAAGTTAAAACTAAGGCAGAAATATTGATAAATGTGAATGTGGTTCAGTATGATTCCCTCTTTCTATAATTAACAAGGGGTACGATATTAAATTCTGCACTTGTATCTTGTTGCCATCTGTCCTCTCTGCCACAGCTCAGGTGGAGGAGGGTGAAGTGGTGCTGGCTCATGCTGGAGCCAGCGGAGTCGGAACAGCTGCTGTTCAGCTGGTTCGTCTGTTTGGTGCCGTGCCCATCGTTACTGCGGGGACCCCCGAAAAACTGAAGATGACTGAGAGCCTGGGAGCAGCAGCTGGGTTTAACTACAGAGAGGAGAGCTTCGCGCAGGGAGTTCATGACTTTACAGGAGGTGAAGTGTGTAGATGTGGAGAGAGTCCACTGTGCCGCAGGGGACGGGGCTAATCGGTCATTACTCTAATGTTTCTGCATTGTTTGTATTACGACGATCCATCAGACAATATGTCAGAGTTATATGGACTTTTGATTGGATTTTCCCTCTCTTTGCAGCCGTAGTAGCAATCACTGCTCATATTAACTACATATTTCTTCTCTTTGTTACAAACTTTTGTTAATGAAGATGTAAAACACTTTTTTGGTAAGTTAGAATAGAAAGTTAGAATAGATCTGGCTACAGGTTTAAACTTGAAAGGATTCTTTTGTATTGTTTTTACTGTCAGTAAATCCCATGAAAAGACAAAAACTAACAATGTGTTAGTCCACCTCTCAATACTTTCTGACCTCCTGATCCTGTCCGGCACAAATATATAGTTTAATCTTTTTAATAAAGGCTAACTTATTTTGTAAAACAGCTGGATTTTTATCAAAATACTCAAACAGGAGTAAATACTGCTTTTATTGGGGACTTTTGGGGGATAATCGGGGTATATAGTCTATATGTTGGGGAGTGGATGTAAAATCTAAAATCTGGCAAAATAAAAACCATTAGTTCATAAAAATGTTTAAACTTCTAATGACTTTATATTTTATTGCTGGAATTTACAAGTGTCCACTAGTATTTATAGCAGGAAAGAGGTTTTGTTTTTATCAGGTATGTTTTCATTTGTGTATAATCACCTGAATATAGAACTCGTTATGTTTTTGTTATCTGAGAATGTTATCTACAGAGGGAGCAGTTCCTCTTCCACAGAGTCCGACATGTTTCTACAGTAGCCCAGAATAGACAAACCAAACACTGGCTGTAGGGCCTTTCACGTATTTTGTGAGTTTCCAAGCCACCGTAGTTTCTACTACACACTTAAAAGGGTGAGCTGTATTCAGTTGGTTGCAATTTGCAATTTCTCCACTAGATGCAACTAAATCCTGCACACTTTTTAATAATTTTGACACAGAGGAATCAGATATATCAGGCTTTTTAATTCATTGTTGGTAATGGAATCTTTTGACAGTATATAGAAATCATCCTTATATTTTAAATAATCCATAAAATATATAACTGAGAATTAAAATAAAGATGAAAATGCTGATTAATTACATTTTATGAAGTCATAACAGAAGTTATCTAAGGACACGTTTCATATAGGGCAGGTCCAGACTGTACTTTTTATAAAATGATTCACACTATGAGCAAACCCTTCAGCGACAGCGGCAAGTAAAAACAAGTCCTGCACAATTCAGTTAAATAACTTCAATACATTTTAATTTCACAGGCAAGGGAGCAAACGTCATCCTCGACTGCATTGGTGGGTGTAACTGGGAGCAAAATGTGAGCTCTTTGGCCACCGACGGCCGGTGGGTGCTGTACGGCACCATGGGAGGCCGGGCGGTAGAGGGAGATCTGCTGGGCAAACTGCTCTCCAAGCGTGGCCGCTTGCTCAGCAGCCTCCTCCGCTCTCGCAGCCTTCAGGTGAGAAATTCAGACCAAACAGAAATGACACACCAGCTTGCGTTTTTTTTCTTCATCTCTGCATGTGAACCTGCTGACTCATGTCGAGTGAAAATCCAACAGTGCTGCCTTTCTGGTTCTTCGAAATGAATGTTTGCATATCTGTGGCTGAGCCTGATTCTGGCTTTGCATTTTTTTTTCTCTTCACAGTACAAAGCAGAGCTGGTAAAAGCTTTCTCACACAGAGTGTTACCGTGTTTCTCAGACCAGACATCCTCCCTGAGGCCAGTGATTGACAGCACGTTCAACCTGGAGGACATCGCAGAAGCTCACAGGCACATGGAGGCCAACAAGAACACGGGGAAGATTGTCGTTAATGTGATTCCACAGAGTGGGGAAACTCAGCTGCAGTGATATTAACACACGTAATCACTCTGAATTTGATTAATCTTACAACACAGTGTTATTTGTTTGTTGATCATTATTTTAAATATGTTTTATCCACCAATCCACCAAAGATGATTTTTGTACAGTGCTGTTTCCTCTGTAGTGTTACATAGTGATTATTAACCCACAACTAAATGTTTACTGTAATTATTACTCCTTATTGCACATTAGTCTTAAAGCACAACCTTAATAAAATGCCACCTTGTATTTCACTGCACATACAGTATTGAATGAGCATATTAACAAATAAAACCCTTGAATCTTTGAGTTTTGATGATGATTAGTGTATTGGTATCAGTGGTGGAAAAGCAATTTAAGTGCATTTACTCTAGGTTTTACCACTTTCTACCTTTTACTTGTAATGGAGTATTTTTATATTGTAGTGTTGCTGGTTGTACTTAATATTAGAATATTACAAGTATGAGCAGGGTTGTTTTAAAAATGTAATCTAATACAATTACGAATTACCTGTTTAAAAATGTATTCATTAAACTAATCCAGGTATGACAATCAACTGTATTGATGTATTTAAAATTTGTAATGGATTACAGTTACCTTTTTTATGTATCCTGATTACGTAACTCCGTTAAACATGTAATCCGTTATTCCCCAAACCTGAGTATTAGCAATAAGTAATTAAAGACATACATTTAGTAGTGCACACAAAAAATTACTTTTATTATTGTATATAATAATAAGTATAACCCGTATTTTTCAATTTATTGTTATTAATTAGTATTCTGATAAGTATCTTATTAATATTTAGTTTTACTTAATTTCCACTCGTACAGTTAAGTTTTAGTTTTTTTAGTTTTAGTCAAGTTTAATTTTCTGCTCATATTTTGAGTATATACAATGCAGTGTATATACTTTAATTTATAGTTTTATATCTTCTAATATTAATAATATTAGTAATATTTTTATTGTGATATTCTTTGTTCTCTGTTTTTGCACTACTTTGCCCTATTGCTGCTGTGTCAACCTGAAGGGGGATAAATAATGGCATATCTTATCTTATTATTATATAAGCACTATGTATGCATAATTATTTTATCGTTATATAATAATTTATTAATAATTATTTTATCGTTATAATATTATTTATTAATTATTGTATCGTTATATTATTTATTAACTATTTTATCGTTATAATATTATTTATTTATTAATTATTATTTTATCGTTATAATATTATTTATTAATAAGTATTTTGTTGTTATATTATTTATTAATACGTATTTTATCGTTATAATATTTATTTATTAATAATTATTTTATCGATATAATATTATTTATTAATACGTATTTTATCGTTATAATATTATTTATTAATAATTATTATATCGTTATAATATTATTTATTAATAAGTATTTTACTTATTTTATGATTAGATAAGCATTATTTATTAAGGATTATGTTTACTTAATTATTAATAAATATATAATTATGCGTATCTACGTCGCAGTCGAGCGCGCGTCAAACTGACCATATACGTACCAGGAGTACTTCCGGTTTCTGACTTCCTGCTTCGCCGCGGCTCCTCTGAAGTTTTTCTCCGGTTCACGGGAGAAGTTTAAGGAGCGGAATCCGTGTGCCAGCTTCAATTCATGGATCAAACTCTGCGACGATCAACGGACACATCTGGGACTCTATGATTCGACCGAAAACAACAATATTTACGAGTCCAGTACGTAAGATTTAACGTATAACTTCTGGGCTACCGTTAGCTCGCATGTTAGCAGTGAGTCGCGACTGGAGCCCGCAGTGTGTAAATAAACTCTGTTGTGTTTGTTTTCTCCTCAAATAACTGAAGCATTTGTTATACAATCAACAATAAGTTCTGTCTTTAAACATACTTACAGCTTACTTCGTGTTTGTTGTGGTTTATTTACTTCCTCACCAAACGTATGAGTCATTAAAGTTGTTTGTTTTTTTTAATGTTTGTTGTTACTGTGAGGAGGTTTTAAGTAAGTTTTAAGTAAGTTAAGTATTTGTTGTTTTTTTTAATGTCACAGACGCCAAATCCTGAACCATGGAGGACCCAAACAGAGCTCAGCGTAAGATGTCAACAGCAGGAGTCAGCTTGTACAAAGTCCTGGGCCTGGAGAAAGGAGCATCTCATGAAGAAATAAAGAAGGCATACAGGTGTGTTTATAGAGAGCAACACACCTGTCCATTTAACACTGGATCCAGATGTTTGTACCATTAAGTTTTTATTCATTTGGTGTTTTAAGATATACAGAAATATCCGTAATTTAAAAGCCACAAATACTGAGGTCGCTGTGGAGAGGCAGGAAACAGAAAATGTTGCTTATTAATCTGAAGTTACTGCGAACCATAACTTTTATACTTTTATAACCGTCCATGTAAGAGTTTAGGTTAGATATGAAGGCAGAAAAGTTAGGTTTGTGAATCTGATGCAGTTTTGCTTTCAAAAATATGAAAGTAACAACGTATATTTTTTATTATTTACATAGATTAGAGTCCGACCGGCTCAGAAGGCTGCTTTCTTTAAACAAATGACTCTATAAGAATTTAACATTATCAACCAATTCAAATACCAATTTCTGAATATACTAGGGGGGAAAAAAATCTGTTTTTATGTATCAGACTAAAAGCCAAATATGAATTTGATGTTCAATTTGAGTTGAGGATCAAATAGTTCAAGTTATTAATGTAAGCACAGTATAACAGTATATTCTGAAAATAAGTTTTCAGAACAACTTTGTAAAACATTCTGTGTCGTAATCCTGTGTTTTCCAGTCTATGCATTTATACGAATTACATATTTCTGTAAAATATTGTTGCATTTATCTACTGATATTGGCATTTATACATTTAGTGTTTGTACATAAAAAGGGATCTGAATTCCCCCCGATGTACGACTCTTGTGTTGCAGATATTGTTGTTGTGGATGACGGCAATCCTTTAGAAACACTCAATGCTGAGACAGTTGCGTAATTTGGGACTCATTTGTTCTTTCAGGAAACTGGCGTTGCGGCATCACCCCGACAAGAACCCGGACAACCCAGAAGCTGCTGAGAAATTCAAAGAGATCAACAACGCCAACTCCATCCTCAACGACGAGAACAAACGGAAGATCTACGACGAGTATGGATCCATGGGCCTCTACGCCGCGGAGCAGTTTGGGGACGAGGGCGTCAAGTACTACTTCCTCATGTCCAGGTGTTGGTTCAAGGTGAGATGTGGTTTTAAAAGTGGAAATTGAGCGGCTGTAATTGTAGTCATGTTAAATTCTGTCTGCGAAAGTGTCTCCCAACAACGTCCTTCGTGTAGTTTAATATTTGACTTTGAAAGGGCTACATGTTGTGGATTGTGGCTTACAAATAGCCCACACACACTCACATATAACTGACCCCTTTCTTTTGTGTTCAGGCCCTCGTGGTGTGCTGCAGTATTTTCACCTGCTGCTGCTGTTTCTGCTGCTGCTGTTTCTGCTGTGGGAAGTGCAAAACTTCAGAAGACGAGGATAATTTCGCCTACATGGATCCCGAGGACCTGGAGGCAGAGATCAGAGAGCACGATGCAGGTGAGGGACTTTGTTCTTTTGGATTCACTTCAGCTTGTAAAGGAGGAAAGTAAAACAAGAGGATATCTCCCTGCTGCTCGTATTTAAAAGAAAAAACCAGTCCAAAGTCTGGAAGATCACGTGTTACATTGTCTAGTTGATGGTTGTGAAGTCAGATCAAAGGTTTTTCAGTTGGGGAAGTATTTCAAAATCTTCCATCAGTTTGCATTTTACTGAAACATTTCAGTCTGTTTTCTGTGGTGAGACGACAGGAAAAGCTCATTATTGTACATGAGACTCATCCAGTGTCTAAATCAGGAAGTACTTTATGCTGTTTGCACTTTGTTTTAGCAGTTTTAACTGAATTAACTGTATATTGTGATTAGTTATGGAAATAACACTTGAATAAATGTTGACATTTAACAGTGAAAGTTTGGAGACAAATTTAAGTTGCAAGTTGTTGTTGTTGTTATTGTTATTGCTGAGAGTCTCATAGTGAATAATTAAACCTGATGGAGATTAAAGGATTCAGTTTTTTTGCTCTTATTATGAAAAAGACAATATTCCTTACTCAGCTGTTTACATGACTAATGAAAATAAATATTCCACTAATATTCCCGTTGACATACACCTGTGCAGACTCTGTTTAACGTCCCTTTTTTAATGACTTTTAAAAGACTAAAAGTGGAACAGCTGGAGCTGCTTTAGCCACTTTTGTCAAGTTTTAGTGTGCATGTAGACGTAATTAGGAACAAACATGGGTTTGCTCAGTGTTACATTTTGTTTCACAGCAGGAGGCAATGTAATAATTATTCAGCCGAGCCCTAGCGACGCCTCAGGAGAGGTTTTCACGTCTCCAGGTAAAGTTCACCTGACCTCAGCCGACTGCTGCTTTGCTTATCTGGCAGAAATTTGAAGCAGTGTTTGGCAGCTTCTAACACCGCTGGCACAGACTGCGTGTTTACCAAATCACATACTAACATGTTTTACTTAATTGTACCTTCCAATAAGTGCTTATTCTTTACAGCCTGTGTTCCTTATTGCTTATTAATAACTTTTTTCTGGCTTATACTTATCATGTTGATAAGGTGGTGTACTGAAATGATATGAAGAACAGTAGTTGGGAGTCATTTCAGAGGAGCCACACAGGTGATTTATCTGATAAAGAAAGGTTGAAGGTTCCTTTATTTGGAGGTAGATTTGCAGTAAAAGACATTCCTCTTGACAAAAATATAAAACAATAAACAGCTTAGATGATAAAACACTATAAAGGATGAACAGTAAAGATACTCTCACTATCAGCTGTGTCCCTGCTATGGCTTATTTCTGCCATATGAACGTTATTCACCTTTTGTTCCCCACATTCTTAAATTGGAAGTAAAGTAAAACAGCCTTTTTTCTATCAACTGTTTAAAAACTGTTTATCAAACCATATGCACACCTTGCTTTATATTACTCATTACATTGTGTTGAAGTTGATCTCAAGTGACTGCACTTTGTGTTGCAACAACCTCCTCCTCTGTTAAAACTACGTTACGCAATTATTGAATTAACTCTCTTTGTGCTGCTGTCCATTCTCCTGCTCTTTAATGCTGTATAATCTATATATACTAATGTATTTGAGGAATGTTTCTATGTTCTTGTTCCGTTATGACATGGTTACTTACACCATTATACTATTTTTGTGTGTGTGTGTGTGTGTGTGTGTGTGTGTATATATATGTATGTATGTATATAAATAAAACAGTGTATACTTGTGTTACTCCACTGCAGGTAAAATGACTCATTAGACAGCAGGATGACCCACAGAGTGTAATATTATATTATTGGATTAATATTACCGATGCATGCCGAGATTACCTTAATTCTAATATCAATACGACACATTTTATTAGCTGATTATCCTTTATGTATAATGTTGATCTTCAATCTAACTACAGCTGTTAAATGATTGTAGTGGAGTAAAAAGAATAATATTTTCTCTCTGAGATTTGATAAAAGTGTAAAGTTTCAGGAAATACAAATAATTATAGTACTTAAAGTAAATGTACACAGTTTCTTTCCACCACTGCCTGATGCTGCAGTTATTGGCTGAGCAACAACAACAACAACAAGAAGAACTATATTAGTTTTATTTCATAATTTTACCCATTTCCAGGTTTTTATGTTTCATTGTTTACGGCTGCAACTAACAATGATCTTCATTATCGACTAATCTCTGTAATTCTTTTAAATTAATTTCTCACTCCACAGAATAGTGAGAAATACTAGAGCTGAAAGTTGTAGTTGATTATTTTATTAGTCTACCACAGAAATTGTACAAAGATAGATGACCTAAACAGTGAATCTCTTATGAAAATAGTTTTCAGTCAACTACATTTCAGCTCTAGTTTAAACTATATTCTTCTCTTATGATATTAAAATAAGGCTTTGCTTCTTCTTTTCCTTCCTCCGTTTGAAACAAACCGCCCTGCTTTGCCGCTTTTTTGCAGAGAAACAGATAAAAGTATGTTAACCCTCATTAAAAACCTGTTTTTCACTCCTCCAGGTGAGAACGCACCGATTGTGATTCAGCCTCATTCGACTAACGGCACCTCCGGGCCCTGATCCTCCCAGCAGTCAGCTGATAAATGAGTGAGTGGAGTCGGGGCTGCAATAAACACCACGTCGTATTGATCGTTGTCGGAGCGGCTGATGAATTTGAATGTTGCTGTTTTCCTCAAACTCTGGCTGACTTGCAGAAAAACTCATCTCAGGCGTATTTGTTTAAGCGAATCAAGCAGCGATTTGATTGTGCCATACTTTGTTTTTTTTAAGTGCCAGTGGGGGTTTGTCTTTGATTCAGTCTCATATTTATTTTTTAAACTTTTTTTATTTTTGAATATTGGGGCAGTTTCTGGACTGCAGTGACAAATGACAAAGCCAATGCAGATCAAAGCTCTGGAATAATTCGTTTTCACGTGCACTTTATTGTCTCAAGTTCATGTTTAAAATCATAAAGCTGCCACGACGGTCTGAAGACATTTCTGCTCTTAGGTCAGAAATGTTTTAATTTTTTTTTTAATGTAACATAATGTCATTAGAGGCCAACCACTTGGAGACTTACGGGGTGTTAAGTCATTCTGCACATAGATACATATCATAGAAACAAAGTAAAGGGCTTCATGAAATTATGCAGATTTCCATTCACATTCCTCGGATGTACAGCATGTGACTAAATCAAACGGTGGGTTTTCAAATGTTTGGTTGTCGACTGTTTCCACTGCCTGTAAGTAGCCCAATGAGAATTCATAAAACAATACACGCACACATTTTGAGAGAAACACTTATTCCCTTTCTTTTCTGAAAGTCAGATGGTAGTTGTGTGGTTGCAGAATCGGCCGTGTGAGTCTTCAAAATGTCTGTGAATTCAAAAATAGAGCAAAAAATTCATAAAGTTGGGTTTAATCGCCCCAAACAAAACACTGTGGCAGCATGGGGATTCATATTTGTTTGATTTTCAGGCACCAAATTGTAGTTTTGTAAGTGTTACAACAGTATTTACAAGTCAGAAACTGGACCTATATGACACGAATGCTGCGTTCAATATGGAGCTGGAGGCGGGAGGTGATTAGCCTAGCTTAGCGTAAAGACTGGCAGTGGAGGAAAGAGTTAGCCTGGTTCAAAAAAAATATACCTCTGACACAAACCTTCTGCACTTTCTGACGTTTGTCTACAGATGAAACAGTTTTTATATTTTTATATAAGCAGATTTTTTTTTAAAAACTCTGGACGGAGCCATGGCTAGCTGTTCCCCTCTGTTTCCAGTCTTTATGCTAAGCTAAGCTAATTGCCTCCTGGCTCCAGCTCCACACTAACAAACACACCGACATGAGAGTGCAATCAATCCTCTCATCTAACTCTTGTAAAGAAAGTGAATAAGTGTAACTCTCACTATATTTAAATTAAACCTCAGAACACAAGGTGGTGAATATTAATTTAGGTACTGATAAAGCTCTTAAAAATCATCTGATATTTTATAAAAAACACTCTTCCCACACTTGACACTAAGACCAACATCAGTTGCTTCGCTCGGGAAAAATAAAAGTCACTGGTTTGATTTATTGATCTCTCTGTGGTGTGTGAGCTTATATGTATATTAGTGATGTTGTGATCAATACAGGAACTGTGTTTTTATGTAAAATCTGAGATCTATATTTTTGATTCAAAGTTTTATGACGATGAATTTGAGTGTATATTAAGATAACGCCTTAAATTATGTCATGTTTCTTCGTGTTTACATTACATTCTCTGTTTGTTCTGGGTGTCGGGTTGTATTTTGTACACATCTTTTTGAATATCTGCATCATTTTTAGCATTTGATCTATTTTTTTCAGGCAGGATGAACGTCTTTCACAGACAGTCAAACAGTGTATTTATATACAGCTTAAACAGTTTACCCTTCCTAAGCCCCGCCCCTTTTTGCTCTGCGCTCCAATCACAGTTGAGCAAGCCTCGCTCAACTTCCTGTCTTGTAGATATGCTAAGTGCTAGACTCGTCTGTGTTGAAAAGACAACCACATTTTGAAGATGGTTAAAAGATACTGATTGTTTTCATTGGTCAGGTTGGTTAGGTTGAGGCATGAGAAGTAAGATTGATTAGGGTACAGCTGGTCATGACTTCGCCATCCTGGGAAAACAAATATTGTGTACAGGAGGGAGAAAGCTGAGCGAGGGTCGCTCAACTGTGATTGGAGCACAGAGCAAAAAGGGGCGGGGCTTATGAGCGGTCAAATTCAGTCGGTTTACATATTTTATAATCAAACTTGCCAAAACTTTCACAAAAGTGCCTGAATATGTTTTAGTGGGATTAAGTTTCTTTGTTTTTTATTCTTCTTCAGGTTTGAATTGTTTCATCAAAACAAAAAAATATATATTTTGTTTTATCTCAACATTCCCAAATATTTTTTCATTCTTTTAACTTGTTCAAACTGTTTTTTCCTGTACAATAAATGTTTGTCTGATCAAATAAACTCGGTTGATACTGAATAAAGTTGTCTTGTAGTTTTGTGCAGTTTGCTCCTGGGAGCTCGGGAACCTGCCATTGGCTCCTGTTGCGCTCCACCTCTGTCAGATAACACGTGTGTGAGCAGGTGGCAAGATTCACTTTAACACTAGTTAAACTTAAAGTCCCTGAGGTGGAGTCGTCTGAGAATATGGAGGTAACGGATTCAGAGAAACAACATCTGATTGAGACTCATTTGGAGCCTGTTAGATGGTATGTTTTTATTCTTCTTATCCTCTCATATTTACTCACATTTAATAAAAGAGTTTGTTAGTAAACCAGTCACTTCTGTCTTCTCTCAGGACGAGTTCTCCAGAGGAAACATGTTCAGACTCTGCGTCAGAGTGGAGCGACGGCGGCTCCAGTGTGGACGGCCTGCGGCAGCCCGAGCAGCTCTGCCAGGAGACGGACACGATGTCGGAAGCTGAGAGCGTCGCGAGACGTTCGGCCAGAAGGAAGCTTTTTGTCGCCTGCGCTGTGAGCCTCGTCTTCATGACCGGAGAAGTGATTGGTGAGATGAAAACGCGTCATCATAACATGGTTTCACCACAAATCATATCAGATACTCAAACTGTTTTATCTTTATTTTGTTTATTTTTATTTTGTCTGCATTACTTTTGCAGGTAGGCTCTAATGATTGTACAGTAATGTGCAATTTTGAGATACTTTTACTTTAATTAATTATGATCAGTTTCTACACTACTGCATTTTCTATTGAACTTTTTACTCCAACCAGAGGATCAACTTCCCCTCCTCCTGTTGACAGTCCGCGGGGATTATTTCTATCGTCTCTGCAGGTGGTTACGCCGCTCACAGTCTGGCCATCATGACGGATGCAGCACATCTTCTGACTGACTTTGGCAGCATCGTGATCAGCCTCTTCTCTCTGTGGATCTCATCCAGGCCTCAGACACACACCATGACCTTTGGGTGGCATCGAGCAGGTGAGAAAAATGTTGAAGTGCCCCTTTAAAACATCCAGCTTCAATCCGCTGGATCAATAACTACCGTGGATTTTAGGATCTCCTTACCACCAATTTGTTCGTGATTATTTTTGGTTTTCTTTCCAATCAATTAGACTACACAGTCTGCTTTTAGAAAGTTGTATTATGGATATAGTTTATCAGTATTTATACTATTATTACCTTTATATAAGTGACTTAATTCAGTAGTTCCCAAACATTATTCAGTAACATACCTTCTGACCAGTGCAAAACATGTTTGGTTGTAGAGAAAAAAGCCAATATGAAGAGAAACAATACAGCGCTGCACCATCAGTGTCTCATTTATTAAACAACAATCTTGTGATAAAAGTTAAGAAACTATTACTAAATCCATTACAATCCAGAGTTTTGTCATCATAAAAGCAGTAAGGTGGCATTGTAGTTGCAATGAACTGCGTCTTTTTGACAAATTGCACTTAAAATTTGGTGAGAAGCTTGTGCCTTTCTGAGGATCTTTCTCTGCAGCGGGCGGTCAGCTAGAGTTCAAACTCTCTTCCAGACTGCTGCTGACACTTACCTTCTGTCATCAGGAAGCAGTTAACTATTGCACTCAAAATATATTGAATATTAAATGTGGTTTATCAAACTTACATTTCCAGTTTTTATTGAATTTGTTGTAGTTTAAATCCCAAGTACCCCCAGCATTACTCTAAAGTACTCCGTTGTGTACAATTACCCCCTTTGAGAAACACTGACTTATTCTCTTTCATTTATAATTGTTCTGTGTCCTGTCTGACTCCCTGATGTTGTGTTAAACAGAGATTCTGGGCATGTTGCTGTCAGTTGTGTCTATCTGGGCTGTGACAGCAGTGTTGGTCATATCCGCCATACAGAGGATCACTGATGGAGACTACGACATCGACAGTCAGATAATGCTCATAACCTCCGGCTGCGCTGTGGGCGTCAACGTCCTGTGAGTATCACAAGCTCAGTGTTTAGATTATTTTTGTTCGCTGCATCAGACGCTCTTCTGAAGACTTAGTTTGGTTCTAGGATGGTCCTGATCCTCCATCAGTCTGGTGCCTCACACGGCCACAGTCACAGCTTTCCTACCAGCCGGCGGCAGAGGGACAAACAGCGGCAGGGGCACGGCCACCATCATCACGGCAACGCCAGTGTGAAGGCGGCTTTCATCCACGTGGTGGGAGATCTGGTGCAAAGTGTCGGAGTCCTGCTGGCTGCCACCATCATCCACTTCCGGGTCAGTGTCAACATCTCACCAACGGTCTGTGAGGCAGTGCTTTTAGCTTAATCTTAACATTGGCCTGCTAACGTGAGCAAAATCTGGAAATTTAGAGTCTAGTTTTCTAGATTTTATTATAACCAAACATCCTGGAAATAATCAATGTTTTGCTTCAAACCTTTAATTGTATTTTAGCCCATCACTCATATCGCCAGCGTAATCCCGGGTGCGTATTGTGTTTGAAACTCGACTCTTGGTGGGAGAAGCTGCACAGTATGACACCAGCAACTATCAGTGAATGATACAACCGTTTGTGAGCAAGAGCTGTCTTGTATTGTGAAGAAAAACTCTTAGTTTAGGGTGTTAAGTATTGGAGAAAAGGACATTTTCCCACTAGAGTCAGTGGCCACTAAAGACTTAACTCAAGTTACTAACTTATTCCAGAGCTTTTAACTGCATCTCACTGGAGGGAAATAGGCACACATTAAACCAATATTTCTAAGGTCAAGAGCTAATTAATATACTAAATGAAAAGTCTTAATTCAGAGCTGAAAAATACCTCAAACAGACATTACAACACTACAGGAAACCACTCAGGACACAGTCGTGGCTGCAAAAGGTCTTGTTACCAACAAATTCAATGAAACCCACCAGTGAATTGATCCACTAACAAGTATTATCTGTTCAGAAACTATTAAAAACACATCAGTGAGCCACATGTTCCTTCTAAAATGAACACACACTTTTGTTTATTAAGAGTCAATCCCACATCTAATATCATACTGCTGTACATATTCAGTGGTTCTGAGGTAACTGGGCCTGTTAACATGTATAAAAACAGAGAATTTAGCCTATAGTGTATCTGAGTTCTTGTCCACTGTCATTAAACCATGAAAGAGCTGCTTCCTGTCTCTAGTTGCACACCACTTACCACAATGTTGGTAATTTGGCACCTGCGGAAAGTAGATTACTAAATGTGTGTTAATCCGCAGCTGAAAATATTCCCCAACAAAGACGATATTTCCTTCTGTTTGATTAACGTTTGCTAAAATCGACAGTTCACAGCTGTTTAAGGAAATAATTCATTTCATTTTAAATATGAATCTATATATTAGTGAGCTGTTTGTACATCTATAATAAGAAATTAGTCAGAAAGCGCATTAGTTGGTGTTTGTTGACTAGAAGGCAAATATAGAATAACAATAACCTTTTAAACAAAAGTAGTGTGAGTCGATGACTATACATTTAGTAAGAAAGAGTGCAGTTGTTGCAGACTCCATATTTACTATTATTAGTTTATAATAATATTTCTTTATTCCTCACAGCCTGAATATAAAGTAGCAGATCCAATTTGCACCTTCCTGTTCTCGGTGCTCGTCCTCGGAACAACGCTCCCCGTCACAAAGGATGTTTTCAGAATACTGATGGAGGGTAAACAATGCTGCGGTGACTTTATTATTTTCTTGTGTGCCGTTTTTGTTCCCGACACTGACTGCGTGGTTTTGTTTTCTGCAGGCACTCCTCAGGGCTTTGACTTCGGCGCTGTGAGAGAGCTGCTGCTGTCTGTGAGAGGAGTCGTGGCCGTTCACAGTTTGCACATGTGGAGCCTCAACATGAGTCACTCTTTACTTTCTGTCCACGTGGCCGCAGGTAGGAGCAAAATCAACACCGCTAATCTCTACCAGAGGATGTGGTGCTCGGCAGGAAATAAATGAGTCAAGTAGAAGAATATGTTTGTAGACTATTATCACAATATTGCTGATATACAGACAGACTGGGGATAAAACTGATATCTCTGGCAGAATTCAGTCTTTATTTTAAAGATCTATGGGCAGGGTGTGGAGTTGAGTGGATGATTCAAAATAAAAAGTAAATAATAAAAGTAAACCAACATGTATCGGCACACACAAGCACCAGTAGTTGTCGCACCTGTTTGTATTTTTTCTACTTACTTTAGTCTTATTCCTGTATTGTTTTTAGTTTTATTAAGTTTTATTAAAGCTTCCTTATTTTTAATTTAATCTGAAAACTTGCCTGGTTAAAAATAAATGAATAAAATGTACTTATTTCATCTAGGTTATATTGAACAGTATTATCTTAATCGAAATTAGAGCCCAATATATCAGATAATATTATAATAATAACTTGTTTTACATTATAATCAAATTCAGAATTATTTTTACAAAAACAGTAGAGTGTAAGAGAGAAGAAGCAGTGTCATTAAAATTAAAATCCCATGTCGGTCGGCTTCTAATTGAAATCAGGTCCAGTTAAGCACAAATGAGGATAAAATAAAAGTAAGAAGCGAGAGCAGAGTCATAATTAAGGTTTAGTTTCTTTACTTTCACAGACTTCTGCAAGTAAAATCATATAAACGGTTGTTTGTGCTATAAAACGAGGATAAAACAAAGCCAAAATAAATTCACCCTTTTTTAAAAAATATATATAAAGGGAATTCGAGTCTGTTGAGTAAATACAGCACCATCTTTAAGATTATTGTGAAGCACAACCTTGAGAAAGTGTCCTTTTGTATATTTGTGTCCTCAGAAGAAGAAGCTGATGCACAGATCGTCCTCATGAAGGCAACAAAGCTTGTGCGCTCCGAGTTCGGTTTCTCCAGCATCACGATCCAAGTGGAACGTTAAAGGGGGGCGACAGCAGCTGGACTGTAAGACGACGAGGGGGGGACAGGTTCCTCAAACACTGGCTGACTACTACATTTTTAGATTTAGAGAGTTTGTGGCATTGTTTACATCTCAAGTGTTGTTTAAGCTTCCAACCGCTCCATGTTTTATTCCTGTAAAGAGTACAGCTACTCTTCTGTATATATTCAAACTCTCAGAGCTGAAAAATATTTATTCATGCTGTTTTATGAATTTGGTAAAAAAACAAAAAACAAAACAGACCAGAACTCCCAAAGTTGGCTACTCAGAAATCTGGAGTTCATTTTTATTTATGAAGCTTTATGACTTTTTTTATCCGTCATAGCCCAGATCCATATTTTACTGCTATTTAATTGACTATCAGAAGGATCTTTACACAGATCTAACTGTGTAATAATCCGTTATAAATGCCACATTCAGTATTTGTGAAACAGTAAAACTCTTGTATTATATCATCGCTTATTTCTCAAGTTTTTTGATTATTACTGACATATTTTAAGGTTTCACATGAGGATTATTCCTCCCATATAAATACATTTTCACCTTCAGTCGAGGTCAATAATAATCTGCATTCTCAGAAACGTACAAATGATTTCTTTTTGCAACATCGGTGTCAATTTATTTTGACAAATCCTGGTCAGAGTACAGTTCCTCGAACCATACAGACACATAAGTAACAACAAATTCATTCAAACACGTTAATGCAGTTCACACATGAACCTGATGGCAGTCCTGGTCGAACTGGAATATGAAGCACACAGATATGAAATTGTTCTTTAAAGGCATCATTGTGATGTTTTTATGCACTCATCAGTTTACTTGATGAGCGAGCCACAAAAACGACCAAACATCTGGACAGACGTGTTCAGTTCAGTCGTTCAACAAACCCAACAAAACCAGTCGTCAGCCTCAGTTTGTCGACCCGGGGCGTCCACCTTTCCAGTAGTTACTGTAGGCCTCCTGGAACATGTTCTTGCACGCTATCTTAGCTTTGAGTTTGGAGCAGATGAGGAAGGAGCCGCCCATCTTGCGGTGGAGGGAGTACGTCTCCTCAGGAGGCGGCGTGAGTCGCTCCCTCAGCATCACGGGGATGAGGCTGTGGATGCGCTCGGTGGTGCTCTGAGCTCCAAAGTCGAAGGGCTCCTCGGAGGAAAAGGCCTCCCCGAGGATCATCACTGCGTCCACGTGGGCGTTCTCCATCGCCTTGTTACGGGGACACAGCAGTTAGTCAACACGCTTTGGGAAATTTACTTTTTTAGCTTTCTGGCGGAGAGATAGATGAAGACTGACATCACTCTTATCTCTCAAATGAACAGACTGAAAACAGAGGGGAACTGCTAGCTAGCTTTGTCCAAAGGTAAGAGCACAATTAAAGCTCACTAATTAAATTGTTATATCTCAATTTCATATGTAAAAGCTCAATTTAAAGTAAATATTAATGCATTATCAATGTATTACTGGAAACTTTATTCTCCGCAGATGTTAAATTGTTTGCTTCCCTGTTGGTAGATTTGATATTATTGCATGTTCAGCTGTTGGACTGTGGACAGACTGAAAGACAGAATTACTAATAATTCATAAGTCAGCTGTTGAGGATTTGCAGACCTGAAACTGTAGTATTAAGCTCTTCCTTCTCAATCTAAACTACAACTGAGAAAGCAGCATTATATCCTCAGTACTGAGTGTGATGGCTGATAAATCTCCACTAAACACTTCTGTGATGTTTCTTTACAGACATTATGATTGAAAATAAGAGTTCTGTCACTGTTGTTGCAGTTCCTCCTGTTTACCAGCAGAGGCCGATAAAGCTCACAGAAGACTTAGTGCCAATTGAATACATTTGACTAAACACTGATTAATGTTTCTAAGTGATTACACACTTGGTAGGTTATTTTTTAGTTCAGAAGTCTGTAAAAAAAAAAAAAAAAAAAAATCACACAGACTACATTGTGTAATTAAATGTTATTTCACTGTGTGTTAGCCACCTGTGTACCATACAGAGTCACACAGATTACAGCAGCTCATTACTCTGATTAATTCCTCCTCTCTGTCTGAACGTGTGTTCATTACGAAAATCAACTGCTGCTCCTCTGAAAGTAAAACCTCGAAAGCACACGGGTGCCGCTCCCTGATTTCAAGTTTCTGCTGAAGGTCTTGGTGTTTTTAACATTAACAACTAAGTTGTTTTTCTTCCTGAAACACCGATTTATACCTATACAGATAAATTGGTCAATAAACTAACTCGTAGGACAGAAAACGAGCAGAGCAGAGAAGCATCAGTCAGTACACAGCTGCCTCTTGACGGTAATTCTTCAACTAAATGTCACTGTTTTTACTCTTGTGGTTTACAGAGATATTATTACCTTTGACTCATATCCTGTCAGGAACTTCATGTCTCTGGACCGCTGCAGGACTCCTTCTCTGTCCTGATTTGCAGCTGCATTAATAATCTGAAGAGAGAAATCAAAATAAAAAACAATCAGTTCTAATCTGATAAAATGCTTGACTGTGACCAGGACAGAAACATGTTCAGTTTCTTGTCAAAGTTTCTCATTTTAGCTCCCTTTCATGTTATAACAAGATATTTTTCATGTTATTTTGACACATTTTCTCATTATTACCACCTACCAAATGATCCTGTTTTTATATTATATATATTTCCTTATATAAAAAAACATTATACTTTGATTCTTTTACTGTTTCTCATCCCAAACATGAAATAAAACTTCATCAAACCACATTAATCTGTCATTCTCCTTTTTTCTAACCAATACAGGCTACAATGCTCTTTAGGTATTGACTGGATTTTGTATCATAAACATTTCTAAGTCTTTATGTCATTATAACAAGAATATATGTTAATAAGATTGTATTTTTTTGTGATAACTGGAAGGTTTTGTGATCAGATAAAATTACTTCTTATTTATTATAGTTTTTCTTGTAAAACTGGAATAAATTGGTTCGTAGTAACAACAAGAAAATGTGCCATAACAACTGTAGAAATAATCTAACTGACAGTGTTTGAGTTGACATTTCCACAGCTTCCCACCTCAATGTAGGTGTCAGTGAAACTCTTATCGAATCCCCGAGTAGCTCCGAAATCCAACAGTGCAACCTGAAAGACGCGAGACAGAAAATCAGACCTTGGTGAAGTTTACATAACGACGTACCGACGGTGTGTTTGTGAAGTGACAAAGAAAAACCGACCTTGTGAGCTTGTGGATCAAAGAAGAAGTTGGACCAGTTTGGATCCGTCTGCATGTACCTGAATTCGAAAACCTCCCTCATGCATAGCATCAAGATTTGCTCACAAATCTAGCAGGAGAAAGAACCAACAATAACATTGGTGTATTATTATTTATTTATGTACTGATGGAGAAACACGATGAGCAGAAGTAATCTCAGTGATGTGCTGACACGACTCCAGGGTTTTAAAAGGCGACATAAATCAGACTCGGAAGCAGGCGACATAGGTGTAAATCGTACTGTTGAGCGGTGCACAGATCAAACCTCATTCCTGAGCTCCTGAGAGAGGTCAGTGGCCTGGTCCAGAGGGAAACCGGGCACCAGAGTTGTGGTGAGGACATGCTGGCTGCTCAGCTCGTCGATCACATCAGGCACATAGAAGTACGGGTGATCCTTCAGCAGCTCTCTGCCACACAAAACGGTAAAGTTAACAGACACCTGAACCTCCGGTGAGCCTGGTGCACCGGAGAAACATAGCTGTCATTGACTTCACAGCTCACATATAAACTTTGTTCTCAAAGGAACGTACTTACAACTCATTCAGAAAGTAAGGATGTGGAAATATGTTATATTAAAATGACCCCAGAAATAATAGACAAACACATTCTACATCCTCAACTGTGGTTTTACTTCCATCTGGAACAAATTACATATTACATTTTTACACATTTCCAACCATTGTCTAAAAATATTCTTAAGATTTGGTTGTTTAATTGTGAATGCAAAGAACTAAAGAGGATTTTTTTTATTTTAAAAGGAAGGGGACATTTTGAGATGTTTTTGAGTACTACAGTTTCTTTTTATTCCCCTCATATTAAAAAGGTAAATACATAACAATTGCACCGTGCCTGTATTTTCATCAATAAACAGTAGGGATGTCCGGATCGAATGTTTTTAACCCCCAATTATATAATATTTAGTATCCAAGTCCTGATCTGATTCTTTTTGTTTTTAGATAATACTTTGCACACTAAATACGTAATAAGTACTTCAAATGTATTAAAATCAATCCAGTGAACATGTTTGACAGTTTGCATTAAGAAATAAAAAAAGGCCTACATTGAAGTTGTTCCTTGATGTTTTTTTGACACAATAAAGTATAAAATAACAAATTCTCTTTAATCTTTTTGTTGCTGTCTGGAGGCATTTTCTCTCTCTGCAGTGTTTGTTGCTTCAGTGCAGCCTTTAACCAGAGTTACCTAAATGAATTGTCTGTATTCTGCTCGTATATTAATTATTTACTCTTATTGGCTTTTTGTTCGTGGGGCTTTTGTTGCTCTTGCAGTGGCTTGTTGAGTGTGGCTGTGTCGGCTCCCTGCTCTCACACTGACGATGGCTGCACAGCGCATGAAAGCTTTGTGAGTAAAAACAGCTGTGTGGCAGCTGGCAAAAGTGTTGTGTTTGTATTCCAATACCTCTTACCTCTCTACCTCTCTTCCAATACTTCTTTAATCGTACCCCTGACAAATTTCATATTACAACAAAAAAAAAACTAAAACCAAACATTTTTAAACAATAAAAAGTAAACTGAAACATTGCGGAAACCAAACTGAATAGAAAAACAATTTTAAATGAAATAATAAAAACTAATTCTCAAAAAAATATAAAACTATAATAACTCAACTTGATGCCATGCATCCTATGATGAGAAGTAACAGGAAAGTATTGCTGCACATTCAGGGCTTCAAAGCAAACTGGAAGCCACTGACATACAGTAAGTAGTTACGCTGTGCAGATAATAAACTAATAAAAAAAACTAAAGTGTGAACCACTCACTGGAATTTTTTGGCACATTTCGCCTCTCTTATGTAATCACACTCCAGCGCCAGCTCACGGCTCATGACCTCAATAAGGTGCTCAGGAAACAGACCTGTAGATGGGAGGGCGAACGTTAAAGAGCTCGCTACTGTAGGTAAGTCTATTGACAGTGGCCGAGGTTACCGACATCAGACAATAGCAGCTGTTATCATAAAAATGATTAAAAATACCCTCCAACAATGTTACCTTCAGGCAGCACGTTGCTCAAACTCAGAGCAGTCATGATGTTGTTCACGTCACTGTCGATACTCTTGGCGACCCCGGGGTACTGAAAGAACACATTTCATTGTGTGATCTCTCTTTTTAATATTTGCTGTGCTTTGTCAAACTTTATCTCTCGTCTCACCTGAATCTTCATGGCGACCTCTCTGCCGTCCTTCAGTCTCGCTAAATGCACCTGACCGATGGACGCGGCCGCGAACGGCTTCTCCTCAAAGTACTCCAGCTTGTCCCTCCAGTTGGGGCCGAGGTCACTGCTGATGGCTTTCTGCGGAGAGAGAGAGAGAGAGAGAAAAGAGGGAAAACTGACTCATCTGTGAACTGAGTTTGTGTCGTTTAACTGCAGCTCCCTCCGTACTGTACCATCATCTGCTTAGTGGGCATGAAGTCCGCACTCTGCCGGACGCGCATCGACCTCAAGAGATTTTGGCCAACTGAGGGTTAATGATAGTGCGTCATCTGAACAGTTTCTGCTTTTCTATAGAGCCTAGTCAGGCATGCACGATGATAAACAGCATTAATAGCAACCATGTCACCAGCAGCTAGTTCAGCCACTAGATGCCTGTCACCCACCACCTGAGCACATTCTTTTACTTTTCTATCCAAGCCAAGGGTGGCAGCCCTCCTCAGTTCCTTTTTTTGGCCCACTTCACCACAGAAGAGACACGGTGTATCGAATGGTTCACATGATGATGTTGAGGATCTGGGTAAAGGGAGTGTGGTGGACTTGTCACTCATGCGCCGTGTTTTTACTGGGCTCACAGACTCTTCATGCTTTTTTCTTTTTCTTGCTCTCTCAACTTTTTGTTTATCAATCGCATTTCTGCAGCTTTTGTGCCACACCATAGGATTTTGAATCATCAGCTGAACTACATCCTGACTACCACCACTAATGTCCACTATAAACTCAGGCAGATCCCCTAATGCCTTCAGCTCTTGGATGTTATCTACAGCTTCTTTGTAACATGATTGCAATCTTTCAGGATTGTTTCTCAGTTTGAATGATGAAGAGGGATCTAATGTTTTTTCAATCTGTAGGGCGGACTGACATAGGAAGCATAAACTCCAGTCACGGCATTCCATTATGGCTAATCTGAAAAAAGAAATGAAGTTGCTTTAACGTCATGAGATAGATAATATGAGCATTAACAAGCATTCGCAAAAGTAAAAATCTATCAAATAATGAAGCTAACTAACTAGCTAGCAACATGTAGGCTATGTGCTTGCTACAGTAAAAATGAGGCTAACTAGGCACTAGCTAGTTATAATGAAGCTCACTAGTTACTAACTAGCTAGTTATGATTAAGCCAACTAGTTACTAGCGACCTAGTTATAATGAAGCTTACTAGTTACTAGCTAGCTAGTTATGATAAAGCTAACTAGTTACTAGCGACCTAGTTATAATGAAGCTTACTAGTTACTAGCTAGCTAGTTATGATTAAGCTAACTAGTTACTAGCGACCTAGTTATAATGAAGCTTACTAATAACTAGCTAGCTAGCTAGTTATTAGTTATCTAACATTAAAAACATTTTTCTGTTTAATGAGAAAGTCATACGAACCTCAAAGTGTTAACCTGTCACCTCTGTCCTTCAACAGCTGTCACAGCTGTCACAGCCCCTGGTGCAGATGTGATGTGTTGTTGCAGGAACTGATTTGCTATAGGCTACTCCTGACTGGTCGTAATCTCATGCTACTTCGGACAAATGTAATGTACAGAAGTAGCTGTACTGCTTAAATACAAAATTAAAGTTTTTGAAGGAATAGATAAGTAAAGTCACTCTGATGACACAATTTTTATGTGAAATGTGCATATTTACCCCCAATTGTCATGGTATGGGGAAAATTGTTGGTTTTTTAAACTTGAAACCAATTTTATTGGATTCCTTGATCCCAATAATGTACACTTTGACACCAAATTTGTCATTATAGCGATAACAGAAGCAAAGATATGGGCTCTAGAGTATTTTCGGCGCATTGGCGGCCATTTTTGAAAAAAACGTGTTTATTTCTGATACAAAGTGTGATCTCACTTGTGTCTTAGGATAAATTTATTTGTATGACCCTAAGGTACTTCCATACCAAAGGCGACCTTTGCATCATGACTTGAAGTCAAAGGCCTATTTTTTGGGCTTAACCTCCCTACTACATCTGTGAACTGAGTTTGTGTCGTTTAACTGCAGCTCCCTCCGTACTGTACCATCATCTGCTTAGTGGGCATGAAGTCCGCACTCTGCCGGACGCGCTCGAAGATTTTGGCCAACTGAGGGTTAATGAAGGCGTCATCTGAGAGGAGAGAAAGTAACAGATGAGCAGAGTGAAAATGCTCACTGATAAACTGTGCATGAGACTCTTTCATCTGTTTTCCTGTAAGATGAATGCTTTTCCCCGTTAAGTGACACATCTCCAATCGAGTTTTGATTGGGCAAACCCCTTCAAGACAGGAGTGAGTGTTGGT